CTCTCTCTGACGCTCTGTCACTCTCTCTCCAGAGCTGACTTATATAAGAGGGACCAGTCCATTACTAGTTAGAAGGTGGGTGCGCCCCAACAGTATTTAAAGCCAGAAAATATTTTTACATTGTAATAATTTTTTGTAGATAATAATGATTTACTGATACAAGTTTTACTTTAATACATAGCTGGGGGGAGAAGAGATGAGTTCATACCTTTCCCAAGTGTATTTGTGTATAAGTAAATATAATGAACTTGACTGGAGTTGAAACTTGGCTCTCTGATTTCCAATTTTGGACCATTATTCATTACACCACCTGCACATCCAAGCTTACAGCACCTGGTATTCCTAAGCAGTCACCCATCTAGGTACTGACCATGCATGACATTACTTAACTCCAGTGATCATATGAGAACTGTTGTTTCAACTTGATATGGCTGTAAGCTTCATGATATGGAATGTTAGGACACTGTACCAAGTAAGAAAATACAAATACAGTATATGGAAATGCTGGATATCTACATTATGATAGTGTATGAAACAAGATAGAAAACAATGGGGATTTTATAAATGATGATCACCGTATCAGATATGTAGTGTGGGAGAAAAATAAAAGAGGAGTAAGACTAATACTAGATAAAGACAAGAAGTGTGTTTTGAGCTACTGACAAGTCATAGTGGTATAAGGGCCTATTTCATAGCACTGAAGAAAGAAATAAGTTTTACACTGCACTAGAAAATGCCACATGTGAAAACCTATTACAGTGTCATTATTATGGGATGCCTAAATTCAAAAGTGGTGGGAACAAGATAGTGAAATAGTTGGTAATATGCACTTAGACCAAGAAAAATGGGTTCATTTGGTATGCAGTAATAATGGTTCAGTAATTATGAACATTTCTGTCAGAATTTCTGGCATGAGGAATTATTATTATTTACATTATTTACATGCAGACTAATATCCTCCTCTTTGTTGTTATTGTAACAATGTTTTGGCCATTGTGATTTCAGGCCTTCATCAGGTGCTTATCAGACCTGATAACCTACAAGGAATTTTGAACTGAACCCTTTATTTAATCTACAGGATTGGATTGTTCTCATTCCACTGTTTATGCCTAGAAATATATTTTTTAATTCTTATTTAGTACTAATCAGTTATTGCTCACCCATAATCAATGATTTAATCCATTAGGCTATTGTTTGTGAAATTGATGAACATAATTATGAGTTCAATTCCTAGGAGGGGCAATGCTTACTTGGACTCAGTGGTGCTTTCAGCTATCATTAGCCTTTATTAAAGACTTTTTTTTTGCTATGTTGTCAGTTTCTTTATTTTCAAATATTGCAACTTCTTAGTTAGAACAAGAACTTTTCAGCACCCCCTCTTAAAATTTATACCTTCACTAAGATGTGTTCTTTTTCATGATCTATTGATTAACTGTAATCATTTAATAATTTTCTTGACATTTAAAGGAAAATGACTCATTAGTTAACAATTAATGTTTCCCATTTATTCCAATGACTGCTTGTCCTCTGACAATTTCTTAATTGGATCTTAATAAAGAATAATATTTATTTAGATGGGGAAAAAACAGAAGCCAAAAAAAATCATGATAAAGTTTAAAAAGTGTTCTCTAAGTTATTCCTTTCCTAATATCATAAGCTATACTGGGGTCACCTTGAAAAGAATATCTTCAATTACAATTGTGCTTTGTGTATACTGTTAAAAAATAGTGAAAAAAAAAAAGCGGCCATGTTCTATACAGCATCTTGTTCAGTTAAAGGTGTTAGACAGTAATGGATTGAAAGAAAAAAATATACCATTTATATTACATATGATAGCCTGAAGTTGTATGAGATCTATTTTTGGTTTTGTTTTTCAACAAGCATAAACTTATTATTGTCAGGATGTTTTTGAAAAAGCTTCTATATCATTTGCCAATGAATATGTAAACTTGGCACACCATTTCTAGACAAACAGTTGTGATGGTTAATTTAACAACATATTGATTCCTTTTGGGTTTATTTAATATTGAATATAAAACTTCTAGGGCAGAAATTGAAATGAATTATTAGATAGGTAGGAACAGGTCTTGTTTATACTAGAGTTAAATTGATAGACATGGGTTCAGATAGGTAGGAACAGGTCTTGTTTATACTAGAAATAAATTGATAGACATAGGTCCAGTTAACACTAACATCAAAAAGGTAGAAACAGGTTTGGTTTACATTAGAGTTAAAATGATAGACATTGGTCCAGTTTACACTAGCATCATAAAGATAGAAGTAGGTCTTATTTACAGTTGAGTCAAAATGATAGACATGGGTTCAGTTTAGATGAGCATAAAAAATATAGCAACAGGTCTGGTTTACAGTAGAGTCAAAATGATAGACATGGGTTCAGTTTACACTATGAAATGGTAGAAACACATCTGGTTTACATTAGAGTTAAAAAGGTAGTCAGATGTATGGTTTACAAGAGAATTGAATAGGTCTAGTTTGCACTAAGTTAAAAAGGTAGATCAAGGTCTGGTTTACACTAGTGTCAAAAAAGTATACAGATCTCCAGTTTACACTAATATGAAAAGGTTTGACATTAAGCTGGTTTACACTATCCAGTATCATGTCCATTGGTAAACTCTCTTTTTGGGATAGCGAGCATCTGTCTCATTGCATTCCTTTGGATTCCTTCAATATATTGAAGTCTTGTTTCTTTCAAGTGGGTAACGGGCAATAGCCACAAAAGGGCAAGATCTGGGGAATATGATGGTTGTTGAACCTGGGTAATATTGTCCTTGGTCAAAAACTGCTGCACAAGCTGCACTAAATAAGCAGTACATTATCATAGTAGAGGTGCTACTCACTGAACACATGCAATTCTGTCTTTTTCTGATGAGCAGCAGACCACAAACACTGCAACACATCATAGTAGTACTCCTTATTTACTGTCTGACCGGGTAGGGCATACTCATGATGAACACTACCCTTGTAGTTAAAGAAACCTGTCAACAGTGTTTTCACATTGCTTTAACTCATTCATACTTTCTTTGGTCTCAAAAAGCTTGACGAAGAGTGATACTTAGCTTCAGGGTTGTAACCATAGACTCATGATTTGATGAAAAGTTTTTTCAAAAAGTTTTCATCTTCCCTAACGCCATCAAGGAGATCCCACACAGTTGAAACCAGATTTTCTTTTTGGCGCAAGCTTAGCAGACACTCATCTCATATCTAAATTTTCAGTGCGAATGAACTGAATGGTAACTAATGTTCATGACTGCTGACAACTCATACACAGTGATTTGATGGTCTTTCTGAACAGCTGCATGTACATCTGCAATATTTTCATCAGTTCGGATGGTTGCAGGTCTCCCAGAACGTGTGTAACTGTTGATATTTGTTGGTCATCATACAAACATTTGAACCATTCATACACTCATGTCTGGCTTATACACTCCTCTCCATACAATTTCTGTAACTGTATAGGTCTCTGCACTGGTATCACAGATTCTCTGCTCAATTTTCTCTGCCATGGTCAATTGATGTAACATTTTTCTTTGTGGTGAAATGACCACACTCTACACACTTTCCTTCCAAGAACTGCTATAAACAAAAGAAATGAACATTATAACTTAGTATGTATGTGTAAAAATTTCAAGGTCAGCCAGTACTAAGTGGCTTGGCTCTGTGTACTTTAGCTCCATTACCATAGCAATTGTTTCAATACTTTTCGATCAAACCTTGTACATAGGTTTGGTTTATACTTGTGTCTGTAAGTATCCACTTGCAAAGTGGTCGCAATTTTCCATTTGTTGGGCATCTTACCCATCTGCATGTGATTCAGTCTGCATATTTTAAACACTGCTGACTGGGCAATTATTCATTATCTTATTTTTTTTTTAAATATATAGAATTCAGTAAAAATTCATGGAATTGTTGACAACATGTCAAAGGACAAAAACAAAATAACTTAACTAAATATACTAAAATAAAGTACTGTATTTTGTATTTTTTCTCTATTTTTTTTTTTGTGATTCTTGATATACCAAGTATCTTCCAAGTCTCTTCAGAATGTTGGCGGACATAGTTCTCCACAGCTTCCTTTTCTTTAATATCTGTGAATTTAAATATTCTTGGGAAAAGTAGTAAAGTTGTTTCCTGCTGACTTTTTCATGGATTTTTATTTCAGTTATAGTTCTGCTGGTCTGGTTGCCAATCAGATCTAGAGAGGCCAGTCCACTATACTATTTTACTCAAAGCTGGGAGGGAAAAGATGAATTCCTTCTGTTGGGTTGCTTTGGTAGAATGCAGCTGTCCAAATCAGATAATTACCCAAATATCTATTAAAAAAATAGAAGAAAGATGGTTCAGGAGATATTCGAAGAACGTTGTTATATACTGTATCTATGAACACTAATGGGTATGTCCCAATTGTCATAAATATGTTGGACACTATTGTAAATGGGGTAATATGCTGTCCAAGTAGTCCACTACTAGCAGTGGTTTACCTATTTCATGCAGCTGGCGAGTATTGTATTTTGTTGATGTTATAAAGATTACCATTTCATTTTCAATTTCCATCTTGGTTATTCCTCATTTAGTAACCCTTTCTAGGTTACAACAAATGTAAATAAAGTTTTTATTTTCTAGAAAAAGAACATGCTAACAATGTTAATAAATGTGCTACATGCCTTCTCTTCACCCCTGAAAAGGAAAGCTAGCATATATGACAAAATGATGCCTTCCAGCACATCACATTCTTATACAAGAATTCATCAAATACAGGGCTCAAGAGCTACTTACTGTTAACATACTGAACAGAATGCCCATTCATTTTGAATGTGGCACAAGGCTTTTCTTATGTGGGGGGTTCCGTAGATACATGAGAACAGAGTTAAAGAAATATTCCAATAGGATTACTGTTAAAATGGTAATTATGAATGAGGTGAATGATATGAGGGAAAGAGAAGGTGGTGGGAAGGGAATATTATAAGGATAAGGAGGATAGATAATTCCAGTGTAGTGTGCATATGGCTCCAAACATCTAAGAGCATCACAGACCTGTTATCACTCTGCCTTGTGTGGTTTTCTACCATCCGTCCCTCTAAGAAGTGCATGAGAAAACTGACATGGACCTGGGTGCTGTGATGAATATCGAGCCCATCATTGAATAAACACACAAATTAGCACACTAGTTAGCAAGCTGGAGTCTCGTTCATTACCAGAATCAACCAGATGGATTGCTCCACCAACTAAAAATGGCCATGCACCACCACCCACCAAATCAAGAAAGAGTTGTCGATCTGTCAATCCTACCGGTGTCCGGACCGGGTGAGTTTTCCCGTGTTGAGTCAAATTAAGCTGCAGGCTCCACTCCTGGTGGTACCCTTCCATCAATTTATTTAAGTTTCAGCTTTGCAGCCATACTCCCCCCAGAACCGAACTCTGGTTTTCCACAAGCTACCCACCGGGTCTTGGAAGCGAACGCCAGCAGATCACTGATCAGCATCGTTTACAGTCTCTGATCATCTTCGAACCTCTGACTTTCACCCTCGATTGAGGAAAACTTACTTGCCACACACCATTGCTTTAGTTCATTTTGCAACGATCCAAGAATTTCACCTCTAATGTTGCAATATGAGTGGCCCTGACTGCTCCCATTTCGATCATTGCCTCGCCATAGATGGAGACTGACAGACATAGACAAGGCCCTCTTCCATCATTCCATGCTTATCATATGCAAGCTTAAACAGCTCACTCTGTAATTTTTTCAAAGTGAATGTACCAGCTGCTGTGGACATTCAGTCAAGAGCACCCTTGGAGGAGAAACTGCTGACTGCACACACGCACAAAACAGACATGAAATAGACACGGAGGCAGGTAGAGTATTGCTGTGGGAAAACTGGAGGGGAGGGAAGAGGAGGTTACGGCACAGTGGCAGGGAAGACCACAATGGCGAGACAGAGATGAATGATATGAGGGGAAGAGAAAGTTGTAGAAAGTGAATATTATAAGGATAATGAAGATAGATAATGAGTCTGTTCCATGAATTAGAAATGTTTTGGAAAAAGTTTACAGAAGGGATCGTTTTTTTCTTACATTTGGAATATGGGGGAAATGAGGATGATTTGACTTCATGGAAGTAACATAGCATGTCCCAATATCAAGGCTGGAAAGTAAAAACTGTTCATCCAGTATATAGCAGAAATACTCCATTTTAAGAAATTTTTTTTTATATAAGATTAAACTCTTTTTGTTAATCTTATGTCTATCAATTTTAATATATATTTCCTTATTTACGTTTTGTTTATAATAAACAGTATTAAGACCATTTACTGGCCTGAACGTCTGAGAAATTTTCATAGAAAATATGTGTCCACTGTTTAGCTTCAGAAGAGCATCTGGTTAGCAAAATTAATTTTACTGCTTTTAAACTACAATTTTCCATGATTTCCATCAAATGATCATATCTGCTCAAAGAGTATCTAAACGTAAAAAGGCCGATAAATGTTGTTAGTATTGTTTATTATAAACAGATCATTAAATTAAATATTTGTGTCAATATAAATAATGTTTAACAATAAAATATATTAAAATAATTGTCGGACTTTGTCCATTTCATACATGCATGCATGCACAATTAAGGATCATGATGTTTGATTTAGATTTTTTTTTCATTTCATTTCCTAAAGCTTTTGAGACTTATTTTTAATCATTTCACCCCAAGGAAGGGGATAATGCCACTAGGATGCTGGAGGTTACAAGGAGGGAAAAAGAATGAGAAGACTTTATTTGGGAGGTGTGAGGAAAAAACTGATATGTCCCAGAAAGGGATATATTTGTTCGAAGTAGCAAAGTGGTTGTGGACTACTGTAACTGAGTAGGACAATCTAGCAGGTAACCATAATGGACTGGTCCTCATCATAGTGGTAGGCAATAGGCATAGACAATAGGCATAGTCATAGGTGTCCTCATGTACCTCCACATCAGTCTGTATTTATGGCTGACACCAGCCAATCATATTACTGTGAGGGGGAACCAGGTGTAGGCATATTCATTATATCAAAAACTATAAATGAGCTGGATTCAGGAAGACAGAAGATGGAAATTGATGTTGCATTGAAATTTTTGAAAATTGTAGTTGACAGGGAAGCAAGAAATCAGAAGGGAGTTACACAGGCAAGAAGTTCAAGAAAAGAAGCTATTAGAATAGAACATATGGTTGCATCTAGCTAGTTCAACTGTAAAATCATGAGACCTAGCTGCCAATCTAGTAGCATGCTCAAATACGTGCAGCCGAGGCACTAGGGAAAAAAGCTCATCAGAACAGTTACCATGAAAATATTTTTAGAAAAGACAGAGAGAGACCACATTATGACTGAGAAATCGAGATGCCAGGTCAGAATCAATTACATTACTGACCCTTCTTTGAATTTTCTTAAAAAAAATCTCACTCTTGTAACAATAAAGTTTTTTATACTAAAGTTCACCCAATTCGAGGCTTGAGAGCCACTCAAGGTAGAGGGTTATTGCTAAAATGGTTATGTGATTTGAGTGAAAGCAGACATGATAGGAAGTGAAGATTTTGTTGATAAGAAGGATAGATAATGATTGACCCTTGACCTAAAGATATTAAGATTGAAGTGTTCAGGAAAGCATCCACATGTGAGTCTGTTCCATAAAATAGCAGCTGATTGGAACTTTTGCTTTAAATATTCAATACTGAGAAAATGATGGTGATTTGACTGTGGAAGTTTTATGTTGTGTCCAAGACATGAAGATTTCAAGTAATGGAACTAACAAATCGTGCTCTCATCTGAACATTTGCCATGGAAATAGCAATAGATTTATGTTATGTTGCATTCATGAGAAAAAGAAAAATATGTCATTACTTGCAAGTCTGTGTAAGCAATTTTAAATCATCAATTTTGGAAATTGAGGATTGGACAGCTGCAGCCAAGACATGGCAGCCATACTCGACTTTTGGTCTAATCTGATTCAAGGTGTCAAATACATTCTGGAATGATACAGTGAACTGAGCATTTTTCTCAACATATTTAGCAATGAATCATATGTATGAGTTCCATGAGATCTGAAGTAAACTGGAATCTCAATAGGCATTCAAAGCAAGGAGCCTCATTGAGAGTGCAACCGTTCATTGTAACTGGAGAAAACTCAAGGTCTGATCAGCGATGGTGAAATGATACAAACTTAGTTTTTGAGATATAAGTTATAATGCAGTTTTTCCTTGATTAAACCATTTAAGCAGTCAGAGGAGAAATCAACTTCCAGCCTTGAATCATCTTTATTTTGTTTGGTGCTTTTTAGAAGTAACCTATATTTATATATCTATTACATCTCTCACAGATGTGCCGTCGCCACTCTCTGTCTTTTTTGCAAATACTTTCATGGTAAATGGTCGAATGAGCTGTTTTTGCTGGTTCCAAGACTTCGCAAATTTAAGTGTCCTACGAGACTGGCATCTGACTCTCACCCTTTCACTGTTCAAACTGTTAAATGTAGTCGCCTCTTCTACTCCAATAGCTTCATGTCTCACACCTCTCACCTGTGGAACTCCCTTCCCTACTCTTGTTTCCCTGATAGCTTTAATCTCCAACTATTCAAATGTAATGTCAATCGACATCTCCAATTGCTTTGATCTATCCACTATCCTTCTCCTCATCCTCTCCTCTGTCATTACTATCTGCTCTCGCTCCAAATCCTCTGTAACCCCTTGCGTACTAGTGGCTTCTCACCTTGCTTGGGGTGAAATGCTTAAAAAAAAAAAGAAAACAACAAAAAACATATACTTGCCAGTATGAAGTTTTTTTTTTTTTTTAATTTAATTATCACATTTAACACTTTAGCATTCAACATGTTCAAGCTGACCCTTTCTTAACTACTGTTGTCCCCTGGTCTACTTTGACCTGGGGTGATAGCACCTGTTAGGGTCCCAGATATAGGCAAATAGTGAATCCATAAACAAAAGTCAACAATAGACTTTTATAATAAAATGACCAATACAATTTTATAGCAATAAGAATCAACACTACAAAAATATAAAAATAGATTTTTATACTAAAATTACCAACAATATATCTTATAATATATAAACTATATATCTAAAAAACATACCTGAGTGTATAAAGTTATATACCAGATATCTGTAGATGAAAGCATAAAATTTAGATTTTCGCATTAAATAACTCATAGAGGCTGATATACAACTAAACAAATTCAAGCAACCAACAATAACTATTTTTAGTAAAATTACTAATAATACCTATTTATAATAAAAATAACCAACAATCCATATTTAAAGCAAAATGACCAACAATACATTTTATCTGTCGTAAAGGGCATACAGTTGTATTTAGATTTCAGAAGTTTTTTCTCATCTGAGTCCATCCTTCAAATCTACAAATCGTCCTTGCTGTTGCCATATATGGTCAGATATCTCTGCTGTTCATCTTGAGGTTCTCAACAAAATCCAAAGATGGATATGCAATGTGATAGGTCCTGACCTGGCATCTCGACTCCAGTTACATTCTCACAGATGTGATGTAGCTTTTCTACAAATATTTCCATGGCAACTGCTCTATTTTCACTGGTGCCCCAACTGCATGAATTAAAGCGTGCTACTAGGTTGGCATCTCGGTCCCACCCTTTCACTGTCGAAACAGTTAAATGTAGCCGCCTCTTCTACTCCAATAGCATCTTCTCTCACACATCCTAACATTAGAACCCCCTTCCTCTTATTTGCTTCTCTGATGACTATAATTTTCAAAAATTTATATGTAATGTCAGTCGACATTCTGATGCCTTGATCTTGATCCCTGTCCTTTTCTTTATCCTTTCCTCAAAAACCCCTCTTTTATCTTACTTTCACTCTCTGTAACCGCTCCCTCTTTACTCATACTTTCACTCTCTGTAACCTCTACCTCTTTACTCTTACTTTCACTCTCTGTAACCTCTCCCTCTTTACTCATACTTTCACTCTCTGTAACCACTCCCTCTTTACTCTTACTTTCACTCTCTGTAACCTCTACCTCTTTACTCTTACTTTCACTCTCTGTAACTTCTCCCTCTTTACTCTTACTTTCACTCTCTGTAACCTCTCCCTTTTTACTCTTACTTTCACTCTCTGTAACCTCTCCCTCTTTACTCTTACTTTTCCTCTCTGTAACCTCTACCTCTTTCTCATACTTTCACTCTCTGTAACCCTCCTCTTTACTCTTACTTTTCCTCTCTGTAACCGCTCCCTCTTTACTCATACTTTCACTCTCTGTAACCTCTACCTCTTTACTCTTACTTTCACTCTCTGTAACTTCTCCCTCTTTACTCTTACTTTTACTCTCTGTAACCTCTCCCTCTTTACTCTTACTTTCACTCTCTGTAACCTCTACCTCTTTACTCTTACTTTCACTCTCTGTAACCTCTCCCTCTTTACTCTTACTTTCACTCTCTGTAACCACTCCCTCTTTACTCTTACTTTCACTCTCTGTAACTTCTCCCTCTTTACTCTTACTTTCACTCTCTGTAACCTCTCCCTCTTTACTCTTACTTTCACTCTCTGTAACCTCTCCCTTTTTACTCTTACTTTCACTCTCTGTAACCTCTCCCTCTTTACTCTTACTTTCACTCTCTGTAACCTCTCCCTCTTTACTCATACTTTCACTCTCTGTAATGTCTCCCTCTTTACTCATACTTTCACTCTCTGTAACCCCTTGCGTGCTAGTGGCACTCCCACCTTGCTTGGCGGGAAATGCTTAAAAAAAACCATGATGGTTGATATGCTGC